AAAAAAAAAAATAGATATCACAGCGGGTCCTCAGTGGCTCAGTCAGTTGAGCAGCTGAGCAACTGAATCTTGGTTTTGGCTCAGGTCGTGGTGTCTGATTGGTAAAATGGTGCCACAAGTCAAGCTCCATGCTCAGCGGGGAGTATGCTTCCCCCCTCTCTCTGCTCCTCCCCCTATGTGCACATGCTCTCTCTCTCTCGCTCTTTCAAAATAAATAAATAAATCTTTAAAACATTTTAAAATAGATATCACATTAAGAAATTATTGTTGAATTTGTTGAGGCATGATGATGGTTATAGTATATGTTTTTTAAAAATGCTCTTATTGTTTATTGAGGCACACTGAATTATCAAAGAAGAAATCACAAGGGAAATTAGAATATTTCAAACTGAATAATAATGAAAATACAACACATCTAAGTGGGTGGGATGAATGCAGTGATATGATGTCTTAGATTTGCTTTAAAATAAAATGGGAGTGAAGGAGGAAGAAAAAGGAGGAGGAGGGAGAGGAGAAGGAGAAGGAGGAGAAGATGATATAGCAAAAACCAGACTGGCTACAAGATGATAATTATTAAAATTGATTAATGCATGTCATAATAGTACTACAGATATTAAGGTGAAATAAAGATATTTTCAGATAACAGGAAACTGATAAAATTTGTTGTCAGAAGATGTGCAGTAAAGAAATGCTAAAAGACATTCTTCAGGCTAAGGAAATTGATACCAGATGGAAACTTGGATTTACAAGGAAATGGTAATGTGTGGAAAAACATAAAATTTTAAAGTTATTTTAAAGATATATGACTGTTTAAAGCAAAACCATTGTATTATGGGGCTTATAAGTAGGTGCAATATTGTGACAAAAGCAGAAAGGATGGCAAGAACTATACCATTGCACTGTTCTTTAATTTTATATGAATATTCACTCTAAATAGACTATGAAATGCTAAGGGTGCATATTGCACTTTCTAGCAACAACTTAATTGCATAATGCAAGAGGTATGCTTAAAAGCCAATAAAGGAATTGAAATGGAATACAAAAAATTCATTATCTTAAACCAAGTGGGAGAGGAAGAATAAATTTTCATAAAACAAATGGGAAAAACAAAAAACTGGTAACAAAATCAAGACCTGGATTCAACCATCATCAATAATTATATTAAATATAAGTGGACTAAACCCTCAAATAAAAGGCAGTGATGGTCAAATGAGCTTTAAAACAAAAACAAAAAACAAGATCTAACTGTATACTGACCACAAAGGATACATTGTAAATATAAAGACATCGATTGGTTAAAAGTATAAAAATAGGAGAAAATATACCATACAAATACTAAGCATATAAAAGTAGGATGGCAATATTAATATCAGACAAAATGGACTTCAAGACAAGGAACATTACCAGAAAGATAGAGAGGGACATTTTCTAAAGAGAAAAGGATCAATTCATCAAGAAGTCATAACAATTATACATATGTATGTACCAAATAATAGAGTTTCAAATTACATGAAACAAAACTGACTGAATTATAATAGAACAATTAAACAAAAAATCAGTAAGAATATAGAGCTGAGCAATCTTTTCAACCACCTTGACTTAATATTTACAGAAAACTAAACCCAACAACTTCCAAATATATGTTTTTTTATGAGCAAAATAATTTTTACCAAGATACATAATATCCTAGTCCAAAAAATAAGACTCAGTACATTTCAAAACTGTTAAAATCTAATTAAGAATAGTTTTTAACAACAATGCGATAAAATTTGAGGTTAAAAAATATAAAATATCTAGAAAATCCCCAGATATTTGGAAATTAACTCCCTTATAAATAACCTGTGGCCAAAGAAGAAATCACAAAGGAAATTAGAATATTTCAAATTGAATGACAATGAAAATACAACACATCTAAATGGGTGGGATGCAGCTAAAGCACAGCTTAGAGGAAAATATATCATTTAATTTCTTGTATTAGAAAAGGGAAAAAGGGTTTAAAGTAATTATCTAAATTTCCACCTTAAATAACTAGAAAAAAATAGCAAATCACTTCCAAACTGAGTAGAAGGAAAGAAATGATGAAGAGTGGAAATTAATAAACTAGAAAATGAATAGAGACCAGGCAAAAAAGAGAAAACACAAATTGCCAATATCAGGAATGAAAAAGGGAATATTGCTATCGATCCCATAAACATGAAAAAGATAAAAGAAAATCATCACAATTTTATACTAATAAGTTCAACAATTTAAATGGTTGCTTTGTAGATTTCTGAGTTGTTCTTAATCATTGTTTTGTAAATTCCACATACATGAATTGAGACAGTTTCACTGCTTCCATTCCAATATGTATATTTTTTACTTTTTTCCTGCTTTGTTGAAATGGCTGAGACCTCCAGTATCTGTTAAATTGAAGTGGTGAGAGTGAACATTCTTGCTTTGATCCTGATGTTAAGGGGAAGGAATTAATATTTCGCCACTAAATGTGATGTGGCTACTATAGGTTTTTATTCTAATTGCACCGGGAAGTCATAGGGTTTTACTTGCGTGAGTGACGTTATCTAATCTACATTTTTTTAAAAAACCACTTGGTCTGCTGTGTAGAGAATGGGCTCTGGGAAGAGGAGCAGAAGCAGGGAGACCATCGGGAGGGGCTGTTGCAGTTGTGCAGGGACGAGGTGGACATGCTTTGCCCAGAGTGACAGCAGTGGACGTGGAGAGGTGGTTGGATTTGGGGATACGTATTTGTAGAGCTGACAGGACTTGCTGATTTATTGAATTTGGGGTTAAAAAAGAAAACCCACACTTACAGCTTAAATAACTGTTTATTTCAGATTTTTTTCCTGTGGATTTTAGATATTTTTATTATTCATTTCCTCTTTAGAATGGATCAGTGAAAGTAGATACAGTATTTTAAAAAATCTAGCCCTATGTTATTTAGGATTTCATTTTTTTAATATAGTTAGAAGATTCTAGAAAGAACAAGGACCAATATTTATACTGGATTTTTTGTCGGTTTTAGACACTAGTGTTCTGAACTACATTTCTGTGTCTTTCTTTTTTAGGTTTGTCCAAGACTGGTTTTCAGAAAGGACGCAAGTGGCCAAAGTGGATTTCTCTACAGTGTTACCACGCTTCATTTCTCTCTATATCTTTTCCTTTCTGAATCCAAAAGATTTGTGTGCATCTGCACAAGTCAGCTGGCCCTGGAAGTTTCTAACTGAACAGGTTTACTACTTGTCACTTCTCAGTAATAGGGCCCAGATACCACTGTATTCTGTCATGTGGCAATCGGGGTATCCTTCCCAATCTTTTGCTTTTAGCTGGGGTAATTTTTCTATTTACATTTGTGTACGTATGGATATATTTAAGCTTAAGTCCACCATTTTACTATGTATTTTTTGTTTGTTCCAGGTGTTTTGTTTTGTTTCTTTGTCTTTTGGAGTACTTAAGTGTTTTTTAGATTGTTAATTATAAATTATTTAGCAGTTCTCTCATGGCTATATTAGAGATTACAGCACTCATCCAGGGCTTTTTTTTTTTTTTTTTAACCACTTCTGAGATAATGCAAGGAGCTTAGGACCCTTTAACTCTATCTACTCCCCTCAATCCCCTCCCCACCCAGTTTCAATGCTATTAAATATTTTAATTTCATACACACACACAAAATACACATTTAAATTTATATATGTATATATATATGTATATATATACACCTCACAAGACTATTATTTGATATAGTTAATATTTACTTATAAGTAACCACATATTTACTTTTTCTGTTGCTCTTCATATCTTCCTGTATATCTGAGTTTCCATTTGGGCTCATTTTCCTTTTGAATTCTCTTGAATATTTCTTCTAGTGCAACTTGCTGCTGACAAATTCTCTTATTTTTGTCTGAAAATATCTTGATTTTACCTTTATACTTGAAGGATATTTTCACAGGGAATTTGAACGCTAGGTTGGCAATTAATTTTATAGAACATTGAAATTTTTCTGTTGTTCTCTGGCTTCCATAACCTTTTTTTTTTTTTTTTTTTTGAGAAGTAGGAAGTTTTATTGTTGTTCCTTTAATGGTAATATTTTTATTTTCTCTAGCTGCTTTTAGGATTCTTTTTTTTCTGTCTTGTCTTCTGTTTTCCACAATTTTATTATGATGTACCCAGAAGTGTGTGTGTGTGTGTGTTTCTTCTGTTTTGAGTTTTTTGGTGATTTTTGAATCTGAGATTTAATGTCTATCAGTTTTGAAAAGTTCTCACAGTCTATCTCCTTATATATTGCTTCTGCCCCATTTTCACTCTTTTTCTTGTGGGATTCCAGTACTTACATGTTAGACTGATTCACCATCTCCCACAAGTTTCATCTTCTCTTCTGTGTCTTTTCCATCATTTTGGCCTTCAGTGTTTCTGCCTGGATTTTGCTTCTAGCTTTTTGTTTACTAATTATCTCTTTAGCTGGATTCTAATTTGCTTTTAAACTGGTCCATTGAGTTTTAAATGTCAGTTATTATATTTTTCAGTTCTAGAATGTTGATTTGATTATTTTGCCAAAATTTCTCACCTAGATAATTAACTTCTTAGACATTAATTATAGGGTTGTTTATTTTTTAGTTTCATGCCTAACAATTATAACGTATGGCTCTCCTGAGGGTCTCTCTCTACTTAATAATAAAAGACAAAAAGAGAAACAATTGTTATCCTTTTATGTGCCTGGTATTTTTGATTGAGTACCAGATATTGGATATAAAATTTTGATGCAATAATTTGAGCCTCTGGATGATGTTTCCTTCCTCCCGAGAGAATTTGCTTTTGCTTCTGGCATTTGGTTAGGCTAGGAATAGATCACTTAAATCCAATCAGAGAAGGAGAGATTTTAAAACTAGTTTCGGTCTTTGTGAGAGTTTGTCTAATTCCTGACCCTCACTGATAGCGATCTCAGCGGATGGCCTGGTGTGATTACTAGGGCTTTTCCCCTTAGTGGGCGCTGAATTTAAATTTGTTTCCTCTCTTCCTTGTGAGAATGCATAAAATTCTTTTTAGCTTCCATGTCATTCAGCTGTAACTTTCTGCTCTGCTTCTCAGCCTGAGCTTGACTTTGGAACTGTCAAATGCCTTGAAGTGAAAAGTCATGCCAGATATTGGCCTTCCCTCTTGGGTTTCCCTTCTCTCTGGGGTCATGGGCACATGAGCCCTTAGTGCATTGGTAGCTCTATATGCCTTCAAATAATTGTTTTATGGTATTTTGTCTAGAGGCTTAATTCAATTAAACCACATGAAATTTGCTGTTTCCATATATCAAAGCTGTTTGCATATTGGCAATATCACATGGTTCAACCAAAGGTGTTCCCAGTGGGAGGTTTGGTGTGAAACAAACGGATACACTGTTGCTAGTAGCAGAATTCTCAGAATCTAGGGTTAACCAAATGCTATGGGAGCACGTGTACAAAGATGGCTAATACATATATTCATATATAACATATATTGTCATCAAAGACTATTTTTGTATGGAGTGAGGTATGCTTCTTATTTGTTAGTGCCAAATTTAGATAACAAGTCAGCTGCACCAGAAATCCCAATGTAAAGAAAAATTATCTGCGTACCCGGAAACATTATTACTAGGAAATGGGCCTTAAAAATTTCTTGCAGTTTATATTTCTCATTTCTTTTTCTGTAGGACTGCTTATGGATGCCTAAATGCATTAGGTTTGGGTGGTTTCTGCCCTATACGCCAACAGATAATGAGTATGGTGCTTGGAAGCATCATTACATTGCTTGTGTGTCCAGCTTAGATTGGCTAATACCTAGGGAAGCCACTGCTATCTATGGGACCCTGAACGAACCCAAAACAGAAGATGAGGAGCTGCAGGAGAGACAAAGAGAAAAGTGCTTAAGAAAAATAATTTGGGAGAAAATTGCACTACGTAAGAGTGAGTATCATTTTAAAACGATATCTTACCCAACTATTGTAGAAACAAATGGATTTACATACAGATTCCCACAGAGGAGGATAGCTAGGTCTTTCTGGAAGTGTGTGGGTGGCATGCTCTAAAGTATACTCCAGACAAGCTCTTCCCCTACCCCCTACTATGTTTCAAGTTAATGAATAAGAAAAAAAGATTTCAGATGAAATACAGAAAGTCAAGTATCAGTGCCTCCATTATTGCTCTGGTAAATCTCAGGTTTATGAGATGAAAAACAAACAAAGAGAGGTAACTATGAACACAGGCAAAAGCAAATAAATAGGTTCAGGACAGAAGAACTGGGATTAGCAACAGAGGGGAGAAGTGAAACTGGGATTGGAAGCAGGAAGAATGGCATTAAAAGAAGAAAAGTGGGAAGGGAAGAGGGATAAGAGCCCCTCTCAGCGAAGCCTTCTGATTTGCACAGTGCACAACAGAACAACAAGTGATTTGAGTCCTGCCATCTTTTTTTCACTGACTCACCCTCTGTGAGATCATAACAAATGGGAGATTACTTGAAGCCAAGAAGAAGGGCAGAAATGGATGTGAAGCCTGTAAATCGATTAACTGGTTTCCACAAGAAAAGAGGTGCTTGTTCTCTGAGCTTTGTTTCCTGACCTGACATGACTGGTAACTTGGAGCCCCAGTGCTGAGAGGATAAGAAATCCAAACAGAGTCTGTAAAAAGGGCTATAATTATTACCATTTGGAATAGTGCCCTGGTACAGCTTTATTTTTGATGCCTTTATCTACGTAGACTTGGCGGAGAGAAGCATGAAGTAAACAACGTAGCCTGCTGCTGTTTGTTTTTCAGAGGAGTTATTCAAAGTTCGACCCCCTTGGGTGAGCGGAACATGTTGCTCTAGATTGTTAAAATCCAAACCCCAGCCACGTCTCTCCCAGGCTCTGAGGGATCGAGTGGGATTACATGAAGGTTTGGAGAAACAGCTTGTTTTGGCATCCTTAGAAGCTTTGCCCAAGCGGTAAGCAAACCTCCATCTCCTGAAGGCTCAAGACCATCCCATGATACCAAAAATTCATTCTAGAATAATTTAGCTAACATGCAGGGAGCTTGTATAATTATCTGACTCATATCCTACGACATAGCAATAGAACTAACTCTTTAATCTTCCAGAGCAGTGGTCTTTGACATGTTTTCTGAAGAGGGAAATCTGTAACATTCAAATTTTACATTTCAAATATTCTCGGCCCTGCAAAGAGGCTGGGATGTAGTACATTTTCTATGCAAAGTTATTGAGCAAAAGTAACATTTTTTTTCAGAAATGTTTTTCATGGAGTAAGCATATCCAAATGGGAATATGGGGGTAAGGGTAAGAGAATGGAGATATTATTTAGAAAGCTCTGAGGACCAGATGATCTAGGAAATTTTAAATCTCTCGGCTGTTCCTTTTTAAAACGTCATTTTGAACCCCTAAGTATGTCACTACATTCATTTTAAGTACCCAACAAAAGCTAAATAAGTTCCAGGAGACCTTTCTAGTACCCCATGGACAGAGGAGGAGAGACCCAGAGGCCAGCCCCAGCCCCACCCGACCCAGGAGCCCCATTTGCCGCTGTCCCCAAAAACTGCAGGGAGAGACTGAGGTCCAAAGGCCATGTGCCTTGTTCAGTATAACTGATGCCCAGACAACAGGTTGGTACTCAGTTATCAAAATCCAACTAATAGGAAATTTAAATTTCACTTATTTCCTTCTTTTCCCTATAGAAGCAATGTTTCTGGAAGCCATTCCTACCCTTTCTTATTGAAGAAAACTTGGCATGGAGTTCATAAAAATGATAACAGTTCTTCATATGCTTCCCAGCTTCACTTCTTATTAATATCATCTCGGATTCCTGCATGCGAGGTACGGAATATGTTGGGAGGCCTGCCCTTTTCTGAATCAGTTTTTTTTTTTTTTTTTCCATCTACATGAGAAGATGTATAGCAATCTTTTGACCACCATGTGTATGAAAATGATTTCTTTTCTAAAAGGAAAATGGTCTAAGTGGAAATTTACATACCCAGAGCACTTTTAAAAATCAGAAGCAATAAAGATAACCATAAATCAAAATTACTTTTAAAAAAAGCATTAAAGGCTAAAACTCCAGTGAATCCTTATTGAACTGAACTTGTTGCACTTATCCCCAAAAAGAGCAAGGTGATTAGGATTATTTTAAAACCTCTTTGCCCAAGGAATTAAATACTATCATATAACCATCATTTCTCAAAAGAAAAATGTCAGAAATCCTATTTTGTGGGCTATTAAAGGAGGGTGTCATTAAATTATGTTTCTATAATAAGTTATATATTTTAATTTTAATATAATAAGAAAAATAAAGGAAGCACAAAGAAGACATAGGAAACCTCTATTTTTATAGATACGTGTGTATATATGTATATATGACACACAAAGAGGGACATACGTAAAGGATGACATTCAGTAGGTTACATTCATTGGCCTACTTAGAAAGTTTTTTAAAAAATTCCTATTTGTAACAAAATGGTTGCTTTCAAGATATGAATTCAGTATTCTTTCTGGGCACCTAGAAATTGACTCTGATCATTTACAACCGGCCAGCTTCATGGATCCACATGAAAGCAAGATCAGAGTTTTGATCTCCATGTGGGCCCCAAATAGAGTCCCTAATGTTTAATAATGGGCATCAGGCTGGGCACAAAGGATAACCAGTGACAGAGTAGGGGTGAAAAATCTAGTTCAAAGTAAGTCTATTCTCCTATTTGTCTTCTTTACATAAGTCTATGCCATGATTACTTATTTTATTATGAATGTGATGGGTGTTTAAGCAAAAAGTAGAACATAACCATGTGGTAGTCCTCTGCTCAGTTTGAACTGTGACCTTCAGAAAGTGGCATGAGGTTTGGGAGAAAAAAAAAAATCATCGACTTTAATGACTTTCCAACTTGTCTGCTGCTAATGAGTTAACTTTATCACAATGAAAAGTCCATTTGGTTGCTGAGTTCAAAGCACAGTGGTTTTCATATTTATTTAAATGGCAAATATTTAATCAATCAATATTGATAATTCAGAAATTCATGATTAAGAGGAAGACTTTAAATCTATTTTAAAAGGCCATTGCAAAATCATATGATCTCAACTTGATTATTTTTTAAGAGTTGCATATATGTCTCTTCATGGGTATGTACAAAGATAAAAAGGCTGGAAGAAAATAATTTAACTTGTTAATAGTATTTATCTGTGCTGGAGTTAGAAGTGTACTTAATTTTCTCCTCTTATAATTAGAAAAGAAAATCATTGAAAAAGAAGCCAACGAATGATAAAGCTTATCTTCCTCTTTCTATAATTTCTGGAAAAAAGTGTTTAAAAATCACAGCAGATTACATACCCACTGTATTTATTTTATTAATAAATATTCTAAAATAATGGGCTTTGGTTTCATTTTCTAGATGGTGGTGGACAGCATTAAGGCAGGTATCATTTCTGTGGTGTACGAACATAGCGGCTTAACCTTGGAGAGCCTGCTTTATCTCATAGAGAAAGCTCTGGATGGACAGAAGGTACAGAGTATGGGGATATTTAGTGATGGAGACAGCAGAGAAATCAATTTACTCCAAGGTAAGCCTGGAGATTGGAAACAACAACCAACTTTGCACCAATGTGGTGTTTGTCCACGTGTATGACTTTCAGAGCACTATTTAAGTTTCAATTTGCTAACAGAGTTGATATCCCAGCTTAAAGCAGTCATACAGGAGGAGTTCCCTCTTATTCAAGGGAGGGTCAGCCTTTTTGTTCCATTCAGGCCTTCAACTGATTGGGTGAGGCCCACCCACACTGGGAAGAGTAATCTGCTTTACTCAGTCTGCCTGTTCAAACATTAATCTCATTTCCACTCTCACAGACACACCCAAAATGATGTTTGTCCAAATATCTGAGCACCCATGGCCCAGTCAAGTTGACATGTAAAATTAACCAGCACATCATTAAACAAGAACTTCTGTTTTCCTTCTTATTCCAGCCCCTTCTACTTTCTGTTTCTATCAATTTGACTACTTTACATATCTTATATAAGTGAAATCATACAGTATTTAACTTTGTGGTTATTTCACTTAACATAATGTCATCAAGTTTCATCCACGTTGTAGCTTATGACAGGCTTTCCTTCACTTTTTAAGGCTGAATGATATTCCTTGTATGTATAGACCACATTTTGTTTATCCTTTCATTTGCTGATGGCCATTTAGGTTGCTTCCACCTCTTGGCTCTTGTGAATAGCACTGTTACGAACATGAGTGTGCAGATATCTCTTTGAGATTCTACTTTAAATTCCTTTGGATATATAGCCATACATGGGATTGCAGAATTACATGGTAATTTTATTTTTAATTTTTTGAGGAACCTCTATACTATTTTCCATGTGGCTGCACCATTTTACACTCCCACCAACAGTGCACAAGGGCTCCAATTTCTTCACATCCTCACCAACATTTGTTATATTCTGTGTTTTTGTTTGTTTTTAGTTGATAGTAACTATCTTAATGGGTTTAAGATGATATTCATTATGGCTCTGATTTGCGTTTGTCTACTGATTAGTGATGTTGAGCATTTTTCATATGCTTATTGGCTATTGGTATATCTTCTTTATATATATCTATTGAAGTCCTTTGCCCATTTTCTGATGGGTTTATTTGCTATTCTTTATTGAGTTGTAGGCATTCTTTATATAGTCTAGATATTAATCTTATCAGATATGATTTGCAAATATTTTCTCCCATTCTGTATGCTGCCTTTTACTCTGTTTATTATGTTCTTTCATGCACAAAAGTTTTTAAGTTTGATGAAAGTGTAGCAATTGTAATAGCAGCAAAACCCAAGATCTATAAATTGGTGTGCATGAACAGCATTTTTTCATACTTCCAAATGGCTTATACCGCAAAGAAAAGGATGGGCTGATATCATTAACTTATTATGGGTCATCTTTTAAAAATGTCAATGGTTATCCTTCTCAGAGGGAAGGAGATGATGAACGTTTTAGAATTAAAGTTTCAGGGCGCCTGGGTGGCTCAGTTGGTTAAGTGACTGCCTTCGGCTCAGGTCATGATCCTGGAGTTCCAGGGTCGAGTCCCACATCAGGCTCCCTGCTCAGCAGGGAGTCTGCTTCTCCCTCTGACCCTCCTCCCTCTCATGCTCTCTCTCTCTCATTCTCT